ATTCGAGCATTGGGGTTTAAATTTGCAATATACAGTGCTGATTTAAATTAACCGGACAAAACGCGTTAAACTTGAAATTAAAAACGCGTTTTTCTCAAATTGGGTTGAGTTTAGGCGAAAACTTATCAAGACAAAACTTGCTTAAAATTTTAGCAGAATTATTATGGTGTAATTTGTTTTGCGAAATTCGGGTCCAAACTTTTACCCCAAAAAATGGGTCCTTTTGGCTTTTCTTAATTAATCAAAAATTACGCCAAAAATACCCTTCGATCACAGACATAATTATATCAAAGTGAGCCTCATACGTAGCCCAACAAACATAATCTCCAAAAAATTGTATAAAATAATTTATTTTTGTTTGATAGACAAAAAAGGTCATTTTTACTAAATAAAATACCAACTTTTTATTTAAAAACAATTTTTAAACAATTTGCAATTTTTTTGGAGAAAATACTCTTAATGAAGTTTGTTGGGGCTACGTATGAGGCTCACTTTGATATAATTATGTCTGTGATCGACTGGGTATTTTTGGCGTAATTTTTGATTAATTAAGAAAAGCCAAAATGACCCATTTTTGGGGTAAAATTTTGGACCCGAATTTCGCAAAAACAAACTACACCATATTAATTCTGCTAAAATTTTAAGCAAGTTTTGTCTTCATAAGTTTTCTCCTAAACTGAACCCAATTTGAGAAAAATGGGTTTTAAATTTCAAGTTTAACGCGTTTTGTCCGGTTAATTTAAATCAGCACTGTACTTAACATGAACTTTTTTTATAGGCGATTGTAGAATTCTAAATGAAGTTTGATAGGTTATATAGATAAATGAAGGTTCGTCAGCCGTAAGCTCAATACTTTGCAAGCAAAACAGAGTTTTTTTAAACTGATTTTTTCTTTGGAACACATTTTTTTGTTCAAAATGCTGAGCTCGCTGCCCACCAAACGGCTATTTATTCTTAATTTCCAAGAAAGTGACTGAAAAATTCTGCTCGATGTGACTTTTTCTAGTCTTTTTAACTGGTGATTTGGGCATGATTTTTTGGATAATCTGACAGCTATTGATAGCTCAAAATTAAAACTTTCTTCAGCTTTGAAAATTAAACCCGAAAATTTTTTACTTCGCTATTTTCATTGCTCTGATATGAGAAGTCTTGTTTTTTTGCGAATGGAGCCTTTTTCTATCCAATGTCAAATATCAACATTATTAGCTGCATAATTTGCTTGTAAATTTATTTAGTAGGCTTAACTAAGATGTCCAATCAATGATGTTTTCATATTCAATTCAAGTTTGTATTTAGTACTAATAAATATTATCATACGAATTAGGTGTCAGAACAAAAAAATCTGTACGAGAACTGATAATAAAAAGCATATTCAACGACTTAGCACAGAGCCTGAAATTTAAACTTGCGTGATAAATGTCGTTCATTCGATTTGCGGAGATGATGATTTACAAAAATACATACACATTTTGTATACGCAACTGAAATACCAGAGAAAATTTGAAAATTGAAGTCAGAACGTTCAAGACTTTGGTTTGGATTTAGTGGTCTTCTATTAACGTTTTCTTCAATTAGCTCAGCGTACTTAGTGTACAGTGTACTTGGTGTTTTTTTTTTGTAAATATAGCTCTGGATGCTTTACTTGGTTCATGATGTAGTGCATGTGTTGCAGTTGGATACACTACGAAAGATCTGCAGCTGAAGTGGAAGATGGACCCTGTGACGAAGTCCAACAAGAACGCGGTGGAGTATGACCCCAAAAAACTGCAGCTGGCTCAGTTCAAACTCATCAACGTCGTCACTAGACAGTTCAACCTACAGTTCTCCACAGGTCAGCAGGGGTGGGGGGAGGGGAGGGTAGGGGAGGGGAGGGGAACCTGTACGGGAAAAATCAATACCCCCCTACAGGTTCTCCCAAAAACACTGTTTTCGAGAAGAGCAGTCGTCGTGTGCAGCTAGGGCATATATCTTTTCCTATATTCGTTCTTCCTGGAGCTAACTTGTTGAAGCTACATGTGTGGAGTTGTGTGTAGTTTAAAGTGTGACCCTCTTCTGTTCAGGTGAGTTCTCAGACCTCGAAGTGGTGTTCTACCTGAAGAGAGACCTCATCTACTTCATCATCCAGACTTACATCCCTGCCACCCTCATTGTGCTGCTGTCTTGGGTCAACTTCTACGTCAACAGACACTCAGTGCCCGCCAGGTGAGATCACGAGCAACAAACACAACTCATATGCAAAAAAACAACACTGGAAAGAGGCGAAAGCACTCAAGTGTATCACAACTGGAATCAGACGAGCATTTTCTCGCAGGGACGGATTTCAACAATTTCGAAAAAAACTGTGTCTACTTTTTTTAGGTCGACTAATTTCATTTTCCAAGCACTTTAAAATTATCTGCACCGCGAAGAAATGTTACCAGTTAACAGTTAAAAAACAGGCCAAAATGACACCGCTTAGCTTTGTTAGAATATAAGAAAACTAAACACTCTAAATCTGCAATTTATAGAAGTTTTCTTTCAAGTCAACCTTTCAGGCAAGATAAACTCGACCGAACTTTAAGCTGGACAACATTAACTTCCGCTTTTTTCTCTGGTGCTCTTCATCATCGTTTTCATTTCCATATGAGCTAACAAAAAAAAACGAATTTGCTTTGATTGTCTAAATTTGCTTGAGAGCTTGAGAGCTTCTTAATTTCGGCTCGCATGAGTCAGGGAAACTGAACTTACGTTTGATTATGTTTGCTTGAAAGCTTGCTTGAGATTTTTAGTTTTCCACAACCTTATTTACCTCTAAAAACATTTAAAAAAATTATGAGATTTTTATCAATTGATGCGCTTACAATTGCAGCTCTAGAAAAAAAAAACAAGCTTCTTTGAACAACTTTCTGTTGTCGCAAACATATCCTTGCTAAAACAAGACTGCTCGTATCAGGGCGAAGCTCTGAATGTTTTGACTGCCTCTCAAGGCCTATGGAGCAGTAATAACATGGAAAAATTATATGTAAGAAAAAAGGAAATTATTATTTTTTCAAATTTGATATTTTTTGTGAAAATCATCCCCCGACTCGCCATATAAAGAACAAAGTGATAAATTTTGCTCTTAGTAACACGTCAATTAGGGCAATTAAGCTTCCTTCAACCAATTTGGAACGATTTCTAATGCGGATTAAATCTCCGCTTACGCGTCAATACTGCGAAATATATCGCGCGTTAATTGTCCCAAATTCGCCAAAATGGCAACCTTTAAACCCCCGTAACTTTACAAAAAATGATCACAGGTGAAATATCTTTTCAAAATTAAGCTCAGGACAACAATACTTTTTGAATGATAAAAACATTCCGTCAAAAATGGCTAGTTAAAAAGTCGCTCTCAGCATTATCAAAAAACACTTGAGTTCAATTAGCTCAATTTTTAGATTTGGTTACGAGAAACACTCTGAAAAAGAAGCCAGCAGATGCCATGCTCACGAACTTCTATGAGATTTATGGCTCATTAAAATTGAAATTCAGGATTGCTTTCGGAGAAATCTTTCTAAGTGAGTTTTGATCATTTCGAGCTAATATTAAAAATGAAATGTGGTTTGTTTCAGAAAATTGAGTTTCTTAATCTAAATTTATCTGAGAAAAGAAAAATTTAATCACTAATAATCAAAAGCCGCTCAAATTGATTTCTATTCAGCGAAGTAAAGGAATGCTTATCACAAATTATTTTCTGTGTGGGTTGAAAGTAAAAAGAGAAATATCTTTGATATTAAAATGTTTGGGATAAACAGTGTTAAAAAACGGACTAAAAAGAAGACATCATTACATAATTCTTGTTACAATAATGAAAATTTTCTTTTCGAAACCAATTGAGGTAGTTCAAGAAAATGGTGCTCGAGTTGTGTTGTACAGAAGCAAGATAACATCAAAAAACTGTTACCGAAGGTTAAGGTTTCCAAAAAATTTATTTTGAACTCGATTCAAGGATACATGATTTATATGCACCGTCACCTAAAATTTCTTTCAATAACTGAAACAAGACCGCTCATGAAGCAATGCAAAACCCTGAATGTTCCGACTGTCCCCTAATCCATATCGAATATTTTTTGGCAAAAAAAGTATTAAAAAATTAAAACCTCTGGACAATATCGACAAGTGTGACTACTTGAGAAGTGTAAAATTAATACGACCGACTATCTAGCCTCGATTCAATTGGAGCGATTTTGTTGTGCTCGATATTTCGCCACCCATAAATAATTCGCGTTACGCTCTCAGTATTATGAATAAAATCTTCAAAGCGCACATAATTTAGTCCAGAACATGGCCAAATTGGCAACTTTCAAACTTCCAGAACTTTACAAAAAAAATCGGAGGTACAATATCTTTCAAATTTTAACTCAGGAATTCAATAACTTCAGTGGGGTATAAAAACTTTTTGTTGAAAACTATTATTTCGATCGGCGAAAATTGACTGAATCAAAAAACGACACACGCAACGAGCACAATTATTCCGTTTTCATCAAAAATCGGAACAAAAAATGCGACTTTTAGTTGGCGGATGAAGTTCTTTATAAAGTTAAATATTCCAAACCGATTTATGGAGAGAGAATATTTAAATAATCCAAATACTTTTGTTGGTTAAGTCATGCCAACCGATTCATGTCATGAAATAATCTTAAGAAATTTGAAAAATCCTTGCTTGATGAATTTGCTTAAAACATCAAAGTTTGAGTGTGAATGTTGCTACGACGTTATTTGAACCAGTTTAACGAGCATTCCCAAGATAGGCTAAACTAAAATTATATATGCGCTACGCGAACGATTTCAAACATCAATTTGAAGATTCATCGCTTGATGAGGTTGGTTAGAAAAACTTTTCGGTGTTTTGCGAGAAGATTCAGGCTATAAAAACTTGACTCAATTCAAAAATGTATTGTTTGATAGGCTTCCTTAAAAATACCAAAATTTCATAACTGCATCGTGTCTCTTTAAACAAATTGAAATCATGCAAAGTTTTATCAAGTGATAAAATTGCTTTAAAATGTTCAACTTTTTGCAACCCAATTCATGCTCTAGGGTTGTTTTTGGAAGTCCACCCCATCGGGAAACTAAATTGGTGCCCTTATTAAATGGACGACGTTTTAGTACTTATATGTTCTTATTTTAGCAATCGGCCTGCTATTTTATTGAATTAAGAGGATCGGTGACAAAGACGGCAGCGGGTTGGTGTTGTTTTTGTAAATACTAGGGCTTGAACGCTTTCAAGGTCGCTCCGAGATTCAAAGATCAAGCTCTAAATTCTTTTGAAACATTAGTTCGGTCTTAAGTTTTATGAGAGTTCAAGCGACGAAACTAGCTAATTGTTTTAAAAATGCTCGGTTCGGTTTTTCAAAAAATATATAATTTAGTCGACAATGAAAAATCCACAATTTCCGCGACAATCCCAGATCAGCTGAAATATACCTTTTCTCGGCATAATGAGTTTTTGAGTGGAATTGTCACTCTTAGAGCCTCGTTGGCGATCACGACAGTGCTGACCATGATCACGTTGATGGGAGCGACCAACTCCAATCTTCCGAAGGTATCCAGCATCAAGGCACTCGACATCTACTTCGGAATCTGTTTCTTATACGTGTTCGGAGCACTGGTCGAGTTCGCCCTTGTCTGTTATTTTAATAAGCCCAGATATACTAGTACGAAAATGACATCTATGGAGCCTCGCCACTTGAAGGGCAAATTGGGTCATGGTCAGTACTTCGACTATGGAGACGGGCCAGTGCATGACAGTGCTGTGGTACGTATAAAATAAGCTCCGCCTTATCAAGTTGCAGAGCTCAATTGTAGTCAGAAAACATCCAATTTAAATAGTACACAGTTTGATGCAAGTTTACAAAATGACGGTTGTTTTTATTTGATTTATTTAGAGAACTATTAAAGCCATGAAATGTAGATTTGCCCTATAATTGCAGACAGATAATTTCAGCCAACCACTCAGGCTTACTTACAGAAACTTTTAGAGACAATTTTGTTTTGTTACAGAACATTTTAGAACAAAAAACAGTTGAAAAATGAAGAGGTTGAAAGTTTTCTCTGTTCAGGTTGGAATTCCTTGGAGATTAAATTCTCAAATGAACTCAAATGGGATCCTAACATCGCCTGGTGAGTACGGGTTCACGCAAGGCGCCTCAAGCCACATGAACGACCCAAGAGAAACGCAAGCATTCCTACCTCTAAACATTACTCAGAACCCGTCTGCTGGTCTAAGCAATCACTACGAAAACCACAGCACTTCTTTCTTGCCCCAAAATCTCAACAATTCCAACGCAACTGTTTTGTCAAACTCTCACAATAAGAACTCACAGCTTCAAGACTCAAAAATTGTCTCGAAAAGTGGGTCTCCGAAACGAGGCTGCGACTTGGAACCGGGCAACTCGCCCTCGCCGCAATTAGTGGAAGACACAAGTTCAACGTTAAATAAGAAGCAGCGGCGTCGGGTGCGTCGGAAGCCTGTGAACAAACCGATAGATGTGAGCAAGATAGATTTGTACTCACGCATCATGTTTCCACTCACCTACATCATGATCTGTATCATTTACTGGATGGTCTACATCGGAGTCACGGGACTCACGCAGAACAGCTTCGAACAGGAGGACCAGGCGGCCAACGACGCCAACAACGAACAAGAGCAGGCCGCCTCCTGATTATAATCCTACAATCGCTTATTTAATAATTAACAAAATCAACCAACTAGTTGATTAATTAAGGAAGCAGTTCAATAATTCATTGGTTGATTGAATACTGAGGTCAGTTTCACTTGGTTGAATTTTAATACCCAACCGCGTGGCTTGTAAATAAGGGCTCTTTATAAGCATAAGTTCCAATCAAAATTCATCAATACTTTCAACTTTTGGTGCTGTTTTGTTTTGTTTAACGAGAGAAAAACTTTTTCGCACGATGCTTCATTTTTCGCCCGAGCCCATTTTACCTTAGGTTCTATTTTAATACATTCATTTTTTAGCAAACCGGCCCCAAGTTTTTCTTATAGGGGGGGGGGGGGGCAATAAACTCTTGAGAGGGAGGCAGGTTTGCGATGGGATCACGCCAAAAAATGGATGCAATTTTTCGTTCAAAACTTTCCAAAAAGCGCCTAATGACACCTTTTTTTGTCTGTTTTGTCAAATCAGAATGCTTAGTCAAAACAGGGTCAGGGTCTTTACAGTGATTTATACGTTTTATCCCCTCTCCCTCAAAAAAAATAAAGATTAGATAAAAAATTTTACAAAAAAAATTGGAAAGAAGCTAAGGAACGCTATCAAAAACGTTGCATCGGAGTGAAGTGAGTGTAATAAATAAAGTTTTTTAATTATGAAAACTTGAGCCCTTTTTAGCAAGAAGTGCATTGGGTTAGATATCAATTTGAATATGTTGCAATAAAATTGAAAACCATAATGTGGATTCAGTTTAGTTTATTTTAAGTTAGTAATTCAAATGTTCATTATCTCTTTTTTTTAAAGTATCTCACAAAAAATAGGGGAGAGTATATTAGCTCAAAAAATTGTTGAAAATTTCTTCTATAGGCGTGGCAAAATTTAGTGAGACCAGACTGGTTCACATTTTTTTGAGATATTAAAAACGGTTCTGCAGATGCAAAAATCAGCCGTAAGGGGTAATGAATATTAGTAGACAACAATAATTTTTTCAACTACACTGATCCAATCTGAGATTGGAGTGATCTGTTTTAGATAATCTTCTCTGCCAACACTTCGAAATATCTGAAGGCCAAAAGGTATTCAGAGTTATTCGTGTTTCGGCAACTGGAGTTTTAAAGGCACTTTGAAGTCAACCGGAGCTTTGAAAGCATTTTGCGTGAAAAAAGCACAACTTTTTTACGCAAAACCAACTGTACCAGAACTGATTTGGTCAGCGATAAAAAAAACTGAATTTTTGGCACTGATATAAATTGAAAAACGGTTGAAAATTAGTTTTACAGAAAAACTTGACCGGCGGTTGAATGATTGGCAACCATTTTTAGCCTAAGAGATAACTTTAACTAGTTTCATATCACTCCTCCAGGCTCCACACGCAGATTGAAATGAATACTATTAAGTATCTATATTTATACACAGTTAGTAAGAGACCAGATGGATGGCCTTGACTCATATAAAATATCAGATGGCTGAGCAGTACCGTTCAGTTGGTGTTGAATTCAGATTTATGCTCAGTTACTTTTCCTAACCAGAGTTACTTAGATATCGATAGCCAATCCGTTAGGATTCTTGAGAAGCTCATACATTACGGTAGAGCAGACATTACGGTATACATTACGGTATAAAAACCTGCTGAGTATTCACCATTTTGACAGAAGGCATGAGTAAAGCCACCACTGGAATGGTCAAAGTGCGCGGCTATGATGGAAATTGCCGTGTTTGCTACAGATGGGATAGAGGTACGAATTTTTTTATGAACAACACCTCCAGTGTTAGGACCAACTGAATTAACTTAAGAGGTTGAAATCACTGGAGAATCAGAAGCACAAAAACGTAATAGAGGTATCAGAAGACCTTTTCGCTTTAGCGGACTCAGAAAGCCCAATGTCACTCCTTATTGAAAAAAACGGCAGAAAGATTACGCCAAAACAACCGCTCCGCATTATTCAAACCCATCCCACCGGCGGATGCCGCCTGAAATCTTGCCTGATTTAACGGAAAATATTTTGTTCCAAAAGGAAGCCTGGTCATTGCGTTAAAATCCCGAGGATAGACCATTCATCATTATGGAAGATCTAAAGGCAAATATTATCGGACGGAACATTCTACCGAAAGTTGACATGAAACCTATACATGGCAAACTAAAACACAGCCAGATATTAAACAATCATGAAAAAGATGAAACATCAGACAAGGAAATAAAAAAATGGATTCAGGAGAATTTCCGACAACTCTGCGTGCAAATCGGAGAATAGAAAAACCACGTAATGCGAATTCACTTTACACGAAAAACATCAAACCAATCCAAAAAAAGTCTAAAATATACTCATTTATCTACAAGAATGATTGGAAACGGAACTAAGCAAATTAATGCATCAAAAACACTGAAAAGAAACAAGACAATTGTTTAGACAGGCATTTCATCAGCCTTATCGTCATAACGGTCAAGAAGGATCAGACGCTCAAACTCGCATTAGATTCCAAAAACAATTATAAGTTCAAACGCAAAAATAATTACCAAATGTTTAAAAATAAACTTTCATTAGATAAAATTGCACAAATTATCAAGACGGACGAAAAACAGAAAAACCTATTCTCGGCGCGGGAAACTAAAAACCGATGCAATTTCAGCTTATAGGGGGGAAGCTACAGGAACATACCAGATCCAAACGGGATTTTACGGCATCACGGATATGCCTACTGAATTTCAAAAAGCTATCGATCTTACACTTACAAGTCGTGAAAACACATTTGCTGATCTTGATACATATTGATTGTGACAAAAGGGTCAAAAGATACGCACAAACAGCTATTACATTAGGTGTTAAAGAAGTTAATTGACAAAAGTTAGGCAATTTTGCTAGATAAATGTAAATTCGCTTGTGAAGAAGTCGAGTGGCTTGGTTACAAGATAATCAGCAAAGGCACAATACCACTTACATGAAAAACAGAGGCAATACTAAAACTGTCCACAAGAAAAACATTTGCTGAAAAACATCATGTGGTCGATACATCATCTCACCAGATACATTCCAAACCTTGCAAAAACAACATCCACACTGAAACCACTGCTAAAAAAAACTCAGACAAAAATAAAACATTAGCTTGAAACCGGAATATACATCCGCATTTCATATTATTCTAAAACTCGTACCAAAAACAACCTTCCAAAAAATGTTTTCAACCAAAACCTAGAAACCCGGGTAGTCTGTGACTCAACTAAATTTGGACTAGGGGCTGCCGTATTGCAAAACATTGACAAAGTTTGGGTAGCAATCGCATACGCCTCAATTCTTGAATTCATGAGAAGAGAAATATTCAGTAAACGAATTAGACCTATTAGGATTCGCATGGGCAATCAAACACTTCAAACACTACTTATACGGGAAAAACTTCACAGTCATTACAGACCATCACGCTTCACTCAGTGCATCAAACGCCAACGAACGATCTAAGACTAGCCAAGGTAGACTCACTCGGTGGATCGATAGATTAATCTTATTCACATTTTGCACGGACACGAGGGGGAGGCAGCTCTTCAAAAAAATACCCGAGGACGAAACCTTGCATTAGTGTGTAAAGAAGAGTCCGACCGGGAAGAAGTCTGTCGGAGCCACCCTGGCATAGAAAAACACAAAAGACCACCTGCGAGCGTTGAACGACCCACTCTACAACAAAAATCCCGCAACAAACAGTTCAAAGCGCCAGATCCCGAACAGGAAAACTTTATTAGTTCCAAAAAAATCTGACAGTCCATCAACACGGAAAAGAGATCACATAGAAGCCACCAATACCTCAAAGAAAAAAAATAAAACATTAACTTGAAACCGGAATATGCATCCGCATTTCATATTATTCTAAGACTCGTACCAAAAACAACCTTCCAAAAAATGTTTTCAACCAAAACCTAGAAACCCGGGTAGTCTGTGACTCAACTAAATTTGGACTAGGGGCTGCAGTATTGCAAAACATTGACAAAGTTTGGGTAGCAATCGCATACGCCTCAGGGTTCTTGAATTCATGAGAAGAGAAATATTCAGTAAACGAGTTAGAACTTTTAGGATTCGTATGGGCAATCAAACACTTCAAACACTACGTATACAGGAAAAACTTCACAGTCATTACAGACCATCACGCTTCACTCAGTGCATTAAACGCCAACGAACGATCACAGACTAGTCAAGGTAGGCTCACTCGGTGGATCGATAGATTAATCTTATTCACATTTGACATCCGACACTTCGCAGGAACAAAAATGGGCTAATCGACTATATATTCAGAAATCCGGAAGGATTAGCTCTACCCCCAGTGAGTATGATGAAAAGTTTGTTCTAGCGTCAATTAACTCATTCATTTCCAATCTTGAATTGATTGCAACGTCATATTAAACACACTGTCCAACCAAAATCGAGCCCCAAATCGGCTGATAAAAAGCGCGCTGAAAATGAAAGAAACGCAACAGCTCAATTGAAATCTCATGTGCACTTCAAACATTCCAAACATAGCATAAACGCTTTTTGCGATTGAGAACAAAAAACAGTCACTTGATCAATTTCACTCATAAAAATCATCGGACAAAATCACTCAAAAAATCAGAAATCGATAAACTTTATTTCAACACCGGAAATCAACCATCGAATCATGAGACGACGAAATGAAAAAAAAAATGCTAAAAAGGGGGACTCATCCCCGATATTGCAAGGACACGAGGGGGAGGCAACTCTTCAAAAAAAGCTCTCCGAGGACGAAACCTTGCATTAGTGTGGAAAGGAGAGTCCGACCGGGAAGAAAATCTGTCGGAGCCACCCTGGCATAGAAAAACACAAACGACCACCTGCGAGCGTTGAACGACGCACTCTACAACAAAAATCCCGCAACAAACAGTTCAAAGCGCCAGATCCGGATCAGGAAAACTTTAATATTTCCAAAAAAAATCGGAAAGTCCATCAACACGGAAAAGAGATCACATAGAAGCCACCAATACCTCAAAGAATAACGACCGACCCAATCGATGTCCTACACACCCAACAATGTCACCACACCATACAATGTCCGGTACCCAACTACAAGCTAGCCACGAACTCATTGTGGCAAGTGTCGTAGAAACAGCAGGCAGAGCCACGGCAACGGAGGCAGAAGAGGACACACTACTCAACCGGAAGAAACTACAGCCAGTTATGGGGCTCAAATTTATAGCCGCGGCCACCCACAGGGACAGAAACATCAAACCAATAGACAACTTTGCTCAAAACGG